ACTGTCCAGTGTTTTCCGTAAATACACACGTTGTATTTCGTGTTACTGAATAAATAAAGAATGTTAATTTTGCTCTACACATCGTGTCTATTCTTATGATTTTTCTTAGTTTAAATCTCAGTCAGTTTAGTTAAACTCAGATATACTTCCTGATTTATTCTGTTCGATCATACCCCTATAAAATGATCCAACCTAAATACACTTTGAGGAAATCAGTTAACCTGAGAATATCACAGAATATTATCAAAATGTCATATTTCTTGAAATCAGTATCGTAACTGAAATAGCTACTAATTTCACCATTTCATAACTAGTATAGAATATATCTTTAGTCATGTACATTCAGGTATATTTTATAAATTTTCATGCTGGTCTTCTGCGTGGAGTTATGACATTCTAGTTAGTTGAATGTTGAAATATCGTAAGTGTAGACTAATCCTTTTACCAGGGTAAAGGTTACATACAACAACAGTTAGATGTTTTTATCACTTTTGCCCTGTATCTTTCCCCATCCCTTAGAGGGGGGAGGGGTTGAGCCCTTCATAGGGGGTGCATGATACCCATACTTATACAAGTTAAATACCAACGAGACTTGTGTGCGCGTAGCAATGTGCACAAAGAAGGAATGAAAAAACGATTAAGTGGCGAACAAATTTTTCCATCATCATGAAGCATTTTCTTGACAGTTTGTCTTTCTTTTAACTTTAAACATAGGCACAAGCTCCTCAAATACATCTAAAGTGTTGCATATTTTCTGTTTCTATATATATATAGCAATTGAAATTTAGTTTTTACCTTTTCTACCATTAAACTAAAGGTTGCACCAGTAAGAACACCTATAACTGCAATTTTATCACTACTAAACCTATTGTAAGTATCAAGGGTCGTTCCATTCCTTTAAGAAAACAGTTTCTGACTCATTGTTTTACACGTTTAAAAAGACATATATGGAACACATTTTTTACCTGTTTGTAATTAGTTATAATTTGATATTTTAACACGATATTGAAACACAGCTATAAGAAAATGTGCATGTAAAATTGCAAGAATAGATTAAACCCGATATAATAATAAAAGTTGTTTAATTTCACGAAAAGCTACTGGAGGGTCATCTGCGCTAATTGTCACTTAGAAGTGACAGGCTAGAGTGAAGGAAGCTACTCAACAGCACCCACTGCCAACTCTTGTAGGCTACTCTAATCAAGTAGTGGGTTTTGATAGTCAAAGTTCAAAAAGCATTTTTTTTGTTTTTAGCGGTATTTGGGTGTGAACCATGGAACCACTGATTTGCATTCAGCCCACGTAGAAAAAATATACGTATCAAATATTTATTTGTTTCTTTCTTTTGTTGTTAAACTTAAAGCTACACAATGAGCTATATGTGCTCTGCCCACCGCAGGTATCGAAAGCCTATTTTGAGTGTTATAAGGCCTAGAATTTTCTGTTGAGCCACCAGGGTAAGCCTAACTAAAAAAAGAAACATTAGATAAATACATAATCTATGAAGAGGAAAGAGAACAAGCTAAAATATGACGTCAATGAGAACAAATATCGAACATTTTGAAACATGATCGTTCCAGCTAATGTTTAAAAGATTGCAATGATGAAACTCAACTTTCTTTCTAAGATATTTAAAGAAGCTGCATAAAAAAAATGTTTCTAAGCTATTTTATCAAATAAATTACTTGAAATTCTTTAAGGTCAACTTCAAAAGCACAAAGCAACAACGTTACTATTGTTACGACAGGGGAAGTCACGTGACGCTGGTAACACGTCATGAGATTCTCGAAGGATCTTGAATTGTCCTGGCAACTCTAGTCTGTTCCATGCGCCCTCTTTTGTAGTATATAAGCCCGGCAAATAAAGCAGGAATGATATAGATAGAGAGATTGAAGATAGAGATAATCGAGTCAAACCGTAAGTAAAGCGTGTGAATCCCTGTGAATTATAACGTGTGTTTATAAAAGTAGTTAAGTTTAAAGTGACTGTGGAAATTAAGTGTATTAGTGTACGAGAAAGAATAAACTAGTTTTAATTAAGAAAGGACTTGTATCTCTGAAGTTTCTCGGAAAGAATTTCTACGGGAAATTAACAAACAAGCAGATACGTATCACTATCATAATGTTAGACAGTTACATAAAAATAAATAAAGGAGATAAAAATCAATGCGATTCATACTCTAGAACAGATAGAATAATAAAAACAAAAATCTTGGAAATTAACGATGGATAAAATAACGTCAGATCTCGGAAAACTCTTCTCATTTTGTCATTAGTTTTACCGTTTAGTTTTCTTAGTTTAAGGAAGATACCTATACAACTAATTGTCCATTTTCTATATGTAAACTTATTTACATGTTAAAATACACATTCAGTTGCCGAACTTAATGGGGTAGTCATGATTAAATCACAAGCTCCTCTATATGTATTTACCTGGAAAAAAAAACTGATAAAAACAATACAGCTTCCATAACAAGTTTTAATATTTCTACTTTAGCTTAAAAGTTACATTTCTTCTTTTTTTCAGTTACTTTAAGCCGTTCAAAAACCCGAAGTCGTTACCAAATATCTTTCAAAAAACAATTCTCATTATAGAATTCTTGTTGAGTAGTTCTGGCTTTCCTAAAATTATAATTGAAGCAGTGATTAAATGATTTACATGTTGTTGTTGTTTTTTTTTTCAGTTTAAGAATTCTATCTTAATATCGTCTAGGAATATAACAAAAGTAAGCCACCTCATCTTTGGTGTGTTTTGCCCTCAAACTGTTCTCGAGCTCTCTGGTAACCAAATTACAACGAGAATTTTGAAAATGCCAAAAGTCATCATGTAGATTAAAAACAGAGTAGATTTATCGGTTTAAAAAAATGCAACATAGCTACGGTGTGAATTCAGTTATGACAGCTGTAGTTTGATTAGAAAAAATATTAAATGTTCTCAATGATTATAAGTTTTTGTGTAAATTATTAAAATTATATAGATAAGGAATGTGTAATTTTTGTCATAAGATGAGAGTAACTTGGTTACTGTTCACTAAAGACATTCCCCGAGCACTAGTTTCTCAAATTGTTGCTCTCCTACAAAACATGTATTTTTAAATTAAAGGTTCTTGAGTGTTGTAGACCTAACTACACAAGCTATTTGAATTATTTGATAACTTGGGGTGAGAGATCATTTAATCACGAAGGTTTATTCATCTGCTTTCTGTCTTAAGACAGTAGAAAGCATAACCTGTAATTCTTAATCATTTGTATATATTTGCTCACACATTTTATTATATATTTTAACGCTTTTCTATCATTATAGTGCAGTGTTATCCCTTGTCTGACTTTTGATCAAATAAGATACTTTTTTTTTTAGTTGTTGTAAGTATAAAAAAATTATTCCCGCTTAAGTATAACTGTAATGTGTGTTACACACATCAACTGGAAATTGTAGAAAATATAAAATATTTTGACTAAGACTTAAAGGGACAAAAGACCTCAGGGCTTATAACGCTTAAAAGGAGGGTTTCGATATAACCAGTGATCAGATCACAGATAACCCCTTATGTAGCTTTGTGCTTAATGACAAACAACCAACCAAGGCCTCGTTAGAAAATTAAATTTAAAATTAAACCAGCTCCATGTTGTGCTGTAATGTTAGGTCACTAACTTCCAGATTAAATATATCAACTCCCACCTCACTTACGATGCCCATACATCATGGATAGTAGTTTGGATTACTTGTAGGTATTGGTTCATCTCAATATTAAATTATTATTTTATATAAAACAAAATAATCTCAGTTCTTTACATGCATACATGTATACAAACTTGTTCGTATGTTTAAGTGGACATGTTTTCAGACTTCTGATGAAGCAAAGTGTGTGTGTAGATGCGGGATATTCTAAAGCCAAAGCTTTTTTCTGAATTTAGAAGAATTATGACCACCCTTTTCTGGACGAGGAACTGGCATCGTCAACTCAGCTGGTTTTAAATAATATATTGTATAAAGTACACAACATTCAATAAATATAATAACGGAATATTTTTTGAAGCATTGATATTCCACTACAAAGCCAAAATGTCATGCTATAAAGATAGCACATTGAGTCGATGGGTGAACTGCACATTCAGCTTCTTGACATGACAAAACCCTTATGTCAAAAGCACTTAAAAACAAGGAGTGGTGGAATATTTATAGTTACTAACTTTTACTTCAAACTGACCTTGATCCCAGCTACTCCAAAAATGTACTCGTCCCGAACAATGAACTTTTACATAAAACATTTCATAAAGCTATTTCATTATTATAAACCAGAGAGTTATTCACAATAATTAACTAATTCCATATAAATATTGTATTTGCATAGGCTACTACTGTTTGATATGTGTTACAAGTCTGTAAAACAGGTACAACTACGAAATTACTCAAAAAGTAGCATAAATGTATGTTGACTTTAGTGTTAATAAGCCGAAAGTTTATCAAATTCACTAAATTTGTATAATAGCTTCTATAGAAAATTAGAGCTCATAAAGCATTCCTTTACGGCCGAAAATATTGTTAATAGCGAGTGTACCCAACTGATGAAACAAGTAATGCCTTCTAATCGTTATAAGTATGAACAGGATAAAAATATTTTTAATTTGTTACACTCAATACCTTGTTGATTTATAATTTTGATTTAAGTAAGTAGCTAGCTCTGATCGTAAGTTAATATCAATGAATATCAATTAATATCAATAACATAATGAATTAATATAGTATCAAACATTTGAATTATACTTGATTACATTTGAACCGTATCATGTCCTACAGCTTAATGTAGTGGACCTAATTCGTGACCTTTATTGATATCAAAATGCCAAGAATCTTAGTGTTTCGCTGATCAACTGGTTTGCCGCTGCTGTCAGTTTATCCCCAGATGATATAGAATGAAGTTACATGATAAAACGGTTCCCTTGGAAACAGTTATTGACGTAACTTTTGCGCATGGTAAGATAATTCTAGTAAGACTCGTGTGATTGCAGCTCTTGGGAACAACTGATGAAGCCGAATAGGATTTAGCGTGTCAGTTCATCGTTAGAAGAGAAGTCGGATTACACAAACTTAAATCCAGATTTTAGAAAGTGCCCTTTACAAACCTGACCTGTCCGCCTGGCGATACGCACATTTCTGTTTAGCCATGAACGTGATGAGGCGGGTGTCAGTGTTTGTAATGATACTTACAGGGACTGTAATACCTGATATGGTTCTTAGTCGACCAGCCGTAGGGAATTCTGACTCAAAATCAGGTACCATATGGTTGGTTGTTGTATATAAACTAGGCTTCGAGTAGTTGAAAACTTCTTGGAGTTTTTTTCAGTAATTTTAAAGTTCTTTCTTTTAATTTTATATGTGTGTTTGATATTTACATTAATTGAGATAAAATTGAATTCTCACTCTCATTTTTTACTCTCTTAATATTAAAGAATTTATAGTAAATACAGAGAGCACTCATTTGTTATATTTTCAGAATTTAATAGTATAACTGAATTATCTTTATCGTTTACCTTTTATTTGTTTTAATTGTACATGTTTGCTAAATTTTAACATTGAACAAACTTTTCTTAAGCATCTAAAAGTAATGAACCTAGGATCTTCATGATTTCTATAATTCACACAAATTATGTTATTGAGTAGTTGTAGAAGTTGATAAAATATCCAGTGTTTTATTTCATTGTTGTTCAAATGCAGTCATAGACTAACATATACTTTCTGATACGTTTTAGTGTAGTATTTCAAAGGAATGTCTTTACTTTAATTGATATCTTTACCCCATTTCTTATGCTTAATAATATAGATTTTGTCCCTTTGAGTAGTTTTGACTTGAATATAGAACATAGTGTTCATTGTGATTCATCTGCTGCACTCTTAATATAAATACCAAACCAGTTAGATTGTATAACATTATTAACATCTTTTTTTATGTTATTGAAGGATATTTGGGTATTTCTATTGTATTAAAAAAAGCTTGTTAATATTTTCATATGGATATGATATTTATTGCTCCTTTAAGTATGATTTTTTTATTGTTGTTCCTTAATAATATTTTTTCAAGCAGTAGCTCTTTTTATTTACTGTTTTATCAAATGTAAATTAGAAACAATGCTAATTTGTAAAGAATTTTTATCACAGTTACTCAACAAAAATGATATCACAAACATAAGAAACTTTTCCAGATATCTAAAACATCATGAAATCGTGTAGTTCTTAAATGAGAGCAATTATAACACAAACTTTACTGTAAAAATGCACCACTAAAATGCTTGATGTCATTATCAAGTAAAACAATTGTAGCTCTGTACATGAAGATAATGGACTATATTATTTATGTTTTAAACTCTTCCAAGTATATTATTTTCAGGTGAAGACATGATTTTGAACTATAATTAATATCAGTTACAATCTTATGTGCAGTTACAATCTTATGTGCTGTTACAATCTTATGAAGTGGTATACATTATTAACTGATGTGTACTTCAAAACAGTATATTTTTATTGATGTTTCAAGTTAATCAAGCAACTTTATCTATTGTTCTGTTAATCACAGCGAGAGAATTTATTAATAGTAAACATATAAGTTCAGTGGAACTTGCCACAGCTAGTATTAAAGTTTTTAATTAGCTTCATCTTTGTATTTGAGCTGTTCATTCTTATTAAAAGATGGTTTAAATAACTTATTTTGCTGCTGCTTTTATATTTTTCAGAAATAATTTGTAAATTATTATAAGTTTTTATTTCTTACTAAATAGCTTATAATCCATGTGAAGCAGTTTCAGTTATATATATTTTGTCAGTTGATATGGCTCTACATGATCACAGAAAAGTGCCTTTATACATAATTTTTTGCAAAGCCTGTTTACAAGAATCATTTTTGTGGTTGATTATATAGTTCAAGCAGATCAGTTTTGTGGCCAAAATTTTAAATTACAAAGGTCATACATTTCTTTTAATTAAGTGGAAACCTATAACTCATGAGCGATTACCTCAATTGAGTGCTATTCAGATCATAACATAATCACTCTAAATCTTTTTTTTTCAACTGAAGTTTGCTAGAATGAGTCCTATTAATTATATTTTAAGAATGATATTATTTTTTTCTTTTTGTCAAGGTTATATTTCATTTCAAGGAGGAGCTTCCAACACTCCAGAAGAAAAGACAAACCACCAGATGGCAAACTATCCAGAGTTGCCATCAGAAAATCACCATCATCAGTATTCACACATGATGTTCAGTCCATTTTTACAAGAAGAAATGAATGAAAATTTGAGAAGAGCTAAAACACAACAGAAATATGTTGAAATGACCAACGAAATTTTAGAACCATATAAATTGTTTCTGGAAAATCACAATAATAATGCTAGGAGGTTTGATAACTTTGAGAATAATCATGTTGTTGGACAAATATCTATGAAGGTTTATCCACCAAAAAAAGTTTTTGAAGTTGAGGCGGAAGAATATCTTGATAAAACAGGTATCACATAGTTTGAAAAACCTGTTATTCTCTTATATTTTACAATATAGCTAATTCAGTGTTTCCACTCCAATCTTTCAAAGTAAATTCCCTGATAAGAAATTAATTTTCATGGCTCACAAGGCTTCATAATCACAGACAAAAATAAATTTGGGTTTAAAGTTTGGAATGTTCATTGGAAAACATTCAGTATGTATTTGTTTTTTTTATGTTTCATAATTAGTTGAGTACTGATATACTGATCATAAAATTTTATGGAATTGTAGAAATATGTTTTGTTTTGAAAAGAAAAGTTTCTTTTTTTAATTGTGATACATGCAAATATTTCATAAAGTAAAGTGAATTTACTTTTTAGGTGTGTTGGAGCCAAAAAGAAAAGACATGGACGAGATACCTTTTAATGGAGAAAAGTGGGCTTACCCTTCTCCACAAGTTTCTGAGCTCCAGAAAGATGAATTGAATGTTCCCCATAAGTTCAAAGAATATGACAAACCCCATGATTTATCACATCATGGTCCTGGCTACAAAGAAACTAAAGCAAAATCTCCAGTTAGTGATATATACTTTGTAGGTGAGTTAGCAGGATAACCTGAAAAAAAAGTGTTGTTGATTTTGTGTTTTATGTAGTATATTTTAAAATGTTGTAGATATCCAAATATATATCTATGTTTTGATAATGATAGGCAGATAGACATACACATACACACACATTTCTATATGGAAGCCATGAGCTAACTTTGAAAAGATTACAATACACATAAGTTTGTCAGTTTGATATCTAAATAATTACTACTAAATGCTTGTTTTGCATATCATAAACAAGTTAAGATTAAAATGAAACAGCTTTTACCCTGAAAGTAATCTTAAATAATTATTATGAATGATAATTCCATTGTCCTTATATTATTTATTCTACATTACATTAACACAGAATGGTTATTAGTTTCAACATTAATTTAAGATGTTTCTATTTATCAGCAATTGTAGCAGGATGTTGTTCAGTTGCTACTTTTGGAGTAATTGCTGCTGGAATTTGCTTTTATAGGTAAGCTAAGTTTTCTTTAGCACTTACAAAGTAGTAACCTCTTATACATACAAAAAATTCTCATTATCACACTTTCTTTTGAAGCATCATAAGTTGATTTTTTCTTCTTTTTTTTCAGCTATAAACTTCACTGTTTATGTTAAAGTGATGCCGGTATATAATAAACCTTACATTAGAATGTTTTTTCAAAGACTTTCTTTACAAGTTTCCAAGAAATTGTGGTCTGTAGATATTACTATACTTGTTTTTCTATTTTGTTTTATTTTTTTTCTTCAAATTTTCTTAATTTATATAATAAATTACTTTTATTTTATTACTAACTAGTATGTAGGTTTATGATAAAATATCTATCAAGAATGAATGTGCATGAAATTCAAATATAAACAGGTTATGATGAATATCCCAGGTTTCAGAAGAAAAGTAAGGCAGCACGCAATGTAGAGTATCCAGCATATGGAGTGACTGGCCCAGGAAATAAAGAGAAAACGTCTCCTAATGGTGACCGCAAGCTGGCCCATAGTGCACAGATGTATCATTACCAGCATCAGAAACACCAGATGATATCAGTAGAAAAGTGAGTACAATTCATGAAACAAGATGAAATGGAGAACACTGTTTTGTTGGAATTATAAAGTTTAAAGTTCAATGATATAAAACAAGAATGCTTGACTGGTAACACTTAAGTAAGAATGAAGTTTCTAGTTAGCTTTAGGTCTTTTCGTTTGTTTACATTAAACCTATGGTCAACTTTTAATACTATCACTTTAGATGCTAGAGATGTATTATTAGTAATTCAGTCATATATATTTTTTGATATTAGCTATTGCTATATATCTGAATTGAATTTGTAGAAATTGATAGTCATATATTTTTCACATCTGAAAGAATTTCTTTTCTTTTTTACATGCATATACCCCAAATAGTTTAGATCAATATCTGTAACATTTTCATGAATCATAAAAGTTAACATTATAAAAACCCAAAGAAATGGAGAATACAATTTATTTTAAAGTTTTCATTGAACAGCAACAAAAAAAAGTTCTTACACTAACACTAACAGTATGCTTTGTTATTGAATATTTTTCATTGTTACTATATGTGGTACTGTTTTCAGTGTCAACTCTTGTAGACTTGCCTCAGCTTCAGATATGGAGTCAGAAGAAGAAAATGATGAGGGTGATTATACTGTCTATGAATGTCCTGGTTTGGCAGTGGTATGCTGAATTTAGTGTTTGTGTTATTGTATTTTACAGCTTTAAAATGTAATGATTATTAAATGTCTGCTTAAAATTAGCTGTTGAATTTCACATGTTACCAGGTGTTCCCTTTAGTCTTACAGATTGCACTACATAATAACTAGTCTATGTATATCACTTTCTTGACATATATATATGTTCATGAAACAGAGATTCATATCAACATCTTGCTTCTGATTGGCTGAGTTATAGGTTGAAAGGACTAATTTTGAGTTTACTTTGAAAATATAAAGATTTGCCTTACTAGCAAGTGCTAATCAATTAACCCTTTAGTTCAGTTGGTAGAGCACTTGTGCAGTGTGTGAGAGGTCTTGGGTTTGAATCTGAGTGAAGGAAATCATAATAAATCTGAAATTACCACAATAATAACTGGTGACCAATATGGGGCATTGTTTGTGATAATGGAAGTATATGATATTTTGAGTCAGTTGTTAAAAAGTGCCTTACTAGCACTTGCTGGTGAGTTAACCCTTTAGCTCAGTTGTTAGAGCACTTGTTTGGTGTGAAAGAGATGTCAGTTTGAAATCTGAGCCAAGGAAATGTAAAATAAAAGTGTTTACCAGTGCTGTAGCCTTGGTTTCTCATCTTTTAAAATTTATCAGAGAACAGATATGTTAATCTTTATTCTATTTGTTCCGAAAGTTGATGGAAAGTAGGCTCAACTTTCTGATGCCCTGTAGTTTCTACTATCCTGATTAATTTTTCCATTTTAGTTTCACTTTCAAAGATTAAGGAAAATATTCTCAAAGTTACAGTTTCCAAACTAACATCTTAGAGCTTTTTTAGCTACTTATAAGTGAATGTAGTCCATATCTGTTTGAACCAATTTAATGTTTATTTGAAAAATATGTTTTAGTGTATTTGAAGCTTCATGCTATTGTGTGTTTTTTGTTTATCAAGCAAGTGGTTATGAATAAATATTATGAGTAAACATACTTAGAATATATTGCAATAAAAAGTTATATGTAATGTTGTTTTTTAATAAAATGTACTATCTGTAACCTGTTTGTTAGTATTTTCTTCTTTTGCTATATGTTTCATAATTTAAATTCATCTGTTTTTTAGACTGGAGAGATGGAGGTTCAGAACCCACTCTTTATAGATGAATCTGGACAAACTGTGTCTCAGCCACCCAAGGAGAACAACAAATGACCATCTTAATAATAGATGTGATGGAGAAATTTGAGGTGTAAATACTTCTTATTACATAAGTGTTTGATTTAAGCTATCTCATCTTAAAACCTGATAGATAGTAAAATATTATGTACAAAATTATTTGCTGGTACCAATTTTATTATTGAATCTTTTGCTATGTATTTCTGCCATTGTTATTCTTATGCATGTATTGGTATATCGTGCTGTGAGTTATTCCTGCCATATATGTATATATATCTATTACTCTGCATATGTTTTCCTTTTTTTTCTTAATTGAACTGAAAAGAGAAATGTGTAGAGCTTAAAATCAATACAAGTTATACACTTATATTTTATAGTATCAAATAATGTTGTTAGGTAATTATTAATATTTTGGTCATTACAAATGGTAATACCACTTTTCAAAAATATTATGTTCAAGCTGTTTGAATTAGCTATTTTCCTAATTCACTGTCATAAGGCTTAAATTAACTTTTAATCAGTCACATAATCTTTAAACATGGAAATATATACTCTTAAAAGAAATATATTCTATCTAATGAAAACAGGTATTTTAATGTGTGTGTATCTACGTTTTGTGATTATAGAAGTAATTGTTTCTAGCAGTTAACGTGATAATTACTCATAAAAACTATTGCTTGCTTTGTATAAAAGTAATAAGAATAATATAGCACAAAGAACCTTGAAGCAGTAATTTTTTTTAAATAGGCCTAGCATATTAATATCCATAAAATGAAATAATGTGTATTATTGCTAAAAATTTGAGTACACACCAAAAGTTAGATTGCTTATTTCATGTTTTAATCATAGTACTATTTTATATTTGTATTTTTTTGTATGCCTTCTTATTGTTATATTGATACATTTGTATATTTAATTAGCAATTTATTTTGGGGTATTTTACAAGTATACTGGCTCCACCTACATAACTAAAATTACTGTTTTTATTCTTTTAATAGTGTATGTAGTCTTCTTTGTTTTTATACACTGTTCATAAAATATTTCTCAAATATCTTCAAAATCTGAATGCTGCTTATAAAAAATGACATGTAAATATTGCTTCTTTTTTTGTAAGTTATGAAGTTTTCTGTACATAAAAGACTGCCAGTTCATAACCATGTGAGTTTCTAAAATATTTTTTGCTATGTCAAAAATTAAAATACAATTCTAAGATGATTGAAAGTAAAGAAGAATGTATAACAATATATCAAGGTAAGCGAATTGATGAGAAGTATATTTTCTTATATATTTCTAAGTTTGATTGGCATATTTATTAACCAGAGGCTAATGATTGATAGCTATTATGAGCATAAAACATTTTAACTAAAGCATGCTATTTTACCAAACCTATAAAGTTTTCTTAACCTAAAGTGAAAATGTTAAAGTACCTCTACAATTATATGTTCATCATCTTTGAAATTAGAAATCATTCATCGTTTCTGTGATTTATAAACTGAATATAAATGAATATTGAAACATACTGAAGCATAGAGTGGATACATAATTTTTTGATATTAGGATATCACAACTAAATATAAAATTATTCAGTGTGTATTTTAACTGTTATAGTTAGAAGTAACTATAAGTTCAAGGCGTTTTTTCAGTTATATAATTTTTGATATTGCTTACAACTATCTGTCTATTAATATGTGATATTGGAATAATGAGGTAAGTCTATAACTGTGACTAAATCTTGCAAATACGTGCACTAATTTTTTGTTTAATGTAAAAATAGAAACAAAAATGTCTAGTTATTTAGGCCTATTCCTAAAATTAGAAGTTTTGCTGTACACAGTATTTACATAATACATGAAACTGCTGCAGTATTGTTGAAAACATGAAATCTTACATCTTGTGCAATATAATTACTGTACAGTTTGTTTGTTTGAAGTTAAGCACAATGGGCTATCTGTGCTCTGCCCACCACGGGTATTGAAAATACGGTTTCTAGTGTTTTAAGTCTGCAGACATACCGCTGTGCCACTGGGGGGGCTACTGTACAGGACACCATAGCTTCCATACTTTTTAAGTTATTTTATACTACAGGGTATAAGGAGGTATCATAACAAACTACTGATGTTTTTAACTGAATGTTCAAGGGTTTGTTCCATTGGAGTGACTCCATATTAGAGAAGTAATGTTGTCTGTAATTCTGAATTTATGAAGTGTTTGCTCATGAAATGTGGCAAACTTTTATTCAACAGTATAAGTCTGTTTTACAGAAAAAAAAGTTGGATATGTTACTAAAGTTTTTGTATGAAAGATATGTGCATATGGGATGTCAATCAGGTTGACTCAGACTATGACAAGTCTGAGCCCAAGGTGATGTTTATATGAAGGAAAATAATTTCGTCTATTATGTAGTTTGCATAGTTAGGCCTTGTGTATCTATGTGCAAATATATATTTAAAAAAATATTGCATGCTCTGTTATACAGTACTGAGATTTCATGTTCTACATATATATATATATATATATAAAAATTTATATTGTATTTACTATTTATTTGAACTATTTGGTTTACACATAGAATGGGAAGAGAGAACTGCAAATATCTGAATGATGTGTATCTACATATTGAACCTCGTACTATTCAGTTACCTAAAAGATACAATGTAGATCCTACTGATACACATACATGATGAGACAAATATCAAAGATAATAAATACTCCATAGTGGATTTGGAACTGTACTATATTCATCCACATTATATTTAGCTTTCAAGTTTATTTATGTGCTTGGGTTATCATATTCACATTTTCTTTTTAACAAATGTATATATATCATCAATGTCTACTTTCTTACAGAGATTATAAGTACAATTATAAGTCATTTCTTTAAAAGTCTATCCACTTGCAGACATCTTTTTGATAAGCTATTGTTCCTACAGTCTTAATCAGGAAGGAGAATGTCAAATATTTGTTATTGTAGTTACAGAACAGTATCTGTAGTTGCCATCAAAATATTGTGGTTTCTATAAGATAAGAAAAATGCTACAGAATAGAATAAAAAAATACTACCCAGTAATAATAATTTATGACTGTAATATGACAGTGAAGGCCACATTTGAATAATTGTGTTTACTCATTGTATATTACTTTCTTTTTTGAACATTAAAATTGTTACATCCAACCACTTTATGGTTACTGAAATAACTTACATTTAATCAGTGGTAAGTGCTACATTATTGGAATAGTTATATCCAAGCATTGTAGGTCTCTGCAAGTATCTTTACTATTCTGTAAGATGTATAAAGGGAAGCTAACCAGGATAAGTTATCTTATAACACATATCTACACCAAAACTACTTTATTAGCAACATTCAAAGTGGTTGCCATGGCTTGAATACTGTGATGCTAAGTTAAGGAACGTGCAGTTGTTTTTCTAGTGTCATTGTTTGAGTTGTTACATCTGTAAGTCAGTGTTGTAAGTTGAATTAATAAGGGTACTGGTAAGTGGTTTGCACTGACTAAGCCATAGGAACAGTGAACATCATAAGAACACATTGCTAAGTTCTTGATGCAGTTACAAGCATATTCATTCCATATAGTTCAAGTTTTTTCATGTCACAATTAAAATAAATGTATTTTTCTGTTTAGTGGTATGAAAGTGATAATTGCATTGAAAATAGCACTATCTCTGAAAATTTTGCAAGCACTAATAAAAGATTAAAAAAATATTAATTCATGATGTTTTTATAATGTTACACTCTGTTGAAAAGAATCAATCATTAGGGATAATTAAGAGAATGAAGAAAATTTTGATAAGACCTTCAATGTTTTCTTAGATCTACTCAATATAACAGTATTGTGTATATCATTATATTGTCAAGAGTGTGCAAAAAGTAAAAGTATCATGAAATTAAAATGTATTAATGACTATATGTAAATGCTAAGTGAATAAATACATGGTTATAAACCTCTTGTGAAGAAATGTGAAAGTAAGTTTTACCTCAGTAGAGAAATGGTTATGAACTTTGTGGCAACTCAGGGGAAAAAAAAAAAAGGTTTATGTAAAAACTGTTGAATGGTATTCGTTGTTGTTTAAATAGAGATTTTTTTATTGAATTTGAATTATCATCTTTCATTCTAGTAGTTTATATATACATATATAAATGGTGGTAGAATTATTATGCACATCTGCGTGTTATTGTGTGCTGTGTTGTTTTCAACTTGCTCATATTTGTTGTGTTTATTAGAAATTTTTGAAGCTATGATTATCTTACAAGTTCACATAAATATATAAATTATTAACTTCACTACATGTAAAATATGCTGGGTTCATTACTTATAATAGTTTTAGAAGTACATACTCTTCATGTATTAAGGAATTTAAGTAGCAATTTTACCATATTGTTTTTTTTAAATTTGCTGGGATGATCTGTTTTCTAAAAGTCTGTCATGAAAATACCTGGTACACATTTTTCTGAGGATAGGTATGAAATGCAAATCTGTAAAATATTTTTTTTGAGACTTAATAAAGATTAGCTGTTTATATATCTTGTCAGGGTTTCTGTATGTAGATTCCTTAAATGACTTCGAAATTGTGTGACATGAAAACATATAGACACACATTAGTAAATAAAACTTGTACCGTGATCGGTTGAAAACTATCTAATCTTTAAATGTAGAATTTCTCTGAACTTTGAGAAAAAATCCTAACTTTAAAGGACAGTGTCTTCCTGTGCTCTTTAAACATAAATGATCAGTAAGCATGGGATTTTCAATTTTGTGGTTGTGTTTTTAAAAACAAATATGTTAATCTATACCCTTTCTTTTCAAAATAGTTTTGAAACTATTCAGCTTGAGCCTATAAATAATTTCTATTATCGATCTAGCTGGACTGATGAGTGATGTACACACTGAAAGCATGGCAAGCAAATCAAAGGTGTATTTAAAATCCTTTGATCACACACTTTTTATTTTTTCGATATATAGTATCCCATGTTACATTTTCGGTTTCTAATTGAACAGTTTCTACTTCCCACTTCTACTGTAAGTTGTTATCATTTATTTATTTTTACCCCAAGGATTAAGTGCATCAGTATGAATTCACATCACTTTTAAAAAGTTTACTATACTTACACTTGTGGACTAAATGCTGCTATTTAGTGAAATACAATTATTGTTTTTGTACTTCTGTAATTCCAAATGCTACTTAAGATATTTGTTTTTGATTATTATAACTGTTAAGAGGGCATTATTTGTCAGTTCTTGGGTGGAATAAAATTGAAATGTGGTAGATGTAAAATTATTAATTATAAAATCAGGTATTATCATCTAGGATTAATAGAAAATTATTAAACATACAAGTTAAATTGTTGATCTTTTTTTTTTATTAAAAGTAGAAAAAAACCTGAAAATATCCACTCTTTTTGGAAACCACTGTAATAAAAGTTATTAGATTAAACTATTTGAGCTTATAAGGATTATTTCAATTACAAAACTTGTAATTTTGACTACTTTTGAATCTTTTATTGATGCATACATATTTTGGATGTGATGTTGTTTTTGAAATCACTCTCAGAAATGTAGATTGAGGATAAATTTTAAACCTCCTTTCATCTGCATCAACAAAAACAAGCATGTTCAGAAGGATTTTGGCTAAGTGGAAACTGCTGTAGGAGCTATGTAGTTTCAACAGGTAATAAGCTTTGTAGACAACTTCAATCTATCAACTAAAACCTGATATTATTACTGTGTTTGTAGTTAGCAATGTTCTTTCTGGCCATTGTTTGGAATTGTAAAGGAATTCTCAGTTTCTGCTGTGCTGCAGTAGCTGATCAAATATATCAGAGTCAGGACCTGGAGCAATACCTATTAGAAAAAGAAATAATTTTATAAGAAAGCATTCCTTCAAATCTTTTAAAGTTTCATTGTAATGGAACTTTAAACCATTTTGGTCTCGAATTCTAGTGGGAGTCCAAATTTTTCAGGTCTTTTGGAGTGATCTACAAGTTTTTGGTTGCTTCTATGGAAAGATGAGGACTGATAAATTGAACAGCCTGTGTAATTTTTAACATTGTGAGTTATATCATGTTTATTGCTGTATATATGCCAAATAAAAGTTTGAATTAAAGATCAAGTGAAACCAGAAGACTAGAGAGAAGGCAGCTAGTCATCACCGTCAACTCTTGGGCTACTCTTTTAACAACAAGTAGTGGGATTGACCGTCACATAATAATGCCTCCACGGCTGAAAGGGCGGTGGTTTTGTTAAGCAGCAACCATGTTTCTCCCTCTAATCATTTTTGATAGCTTAGAATATGTCCTCTTTGAGTTTTGTGCTTAACTACAAATCAAATCCGAACCTTACTAAATATAAATAAATATATTACAACTTTTTTCAACCAATGACAGCAATTCTTCCTTAACTAAATATAAAAAAATTCTTAATGGAACATTGTTCTAAACAAAGCTCCTGAGAATTTCGTCCTTGTCGAATTGCAATTTATAGAAGAGGACATACAAAGAAACACAGAAAGTTTTTTTATAACTCTGATTAGCAAATCTAAAATCCCATCCCCTGTTACTGCGATCTTGTGCGTGCTTTCTGAGTACAGTTGGGGCTTATTCTTTAGAGATCAAGTGAACATTTAAGTGTAATATAGTTTTATCGCCTGGTTGGCTAATAAGTTCTTAGTTTAGTAAATATATTATTAATAAATATTAAATATCCGCATTTCTTTTGATACAAGGTTTGGTCTTGAGGAAGCGACTTCGGAAGGAGAACTTGGATCTCCAGTTCATTAACTTCAAAGATAAGAATATGTTTAGTTAAATGTACTTTAAAATTGTAAAACAAAATGATATGAAATGTGTTTTTGGTTCAAGCTGCAGGCGTATATCCACATTTCTGGTAGCAAGGGTTCGTTTAGAGGGAACAACCAAGCAGGATAGCACTGTAAATTAATGATTTGAGCAAGATAGTTTAAAAAAAAATCCTTAAGGGGAGGAAGTATCCGTGTTTAGCGTTGCTAGAAGTGGAAGGCTGTGAGATTAGTAACCCTAGCATTGGAATAGAAACGGAAGGCGTCAGACCCTCAATATGGCGTCTCTGGAGTGGTATGAAAACTATAATTTCTATGGTGTAGAGGAGGCCACATTAGCTAGCCGTCAATATAACACGGATAAGTTGTGGCAGCATATGCGTTTCTGCAGAGCTTGTCACATCTGGTCATCGTCCCCTTCCTCCTTCCCAAAATTTTCCTACTTCAAAATAAATTATGTTTTCCTCCATGAGGGCGTGTGAAAAACTATGAAGTGTTTAACTTGGCCAGGAACCCTAATCTGTGATAGCAGTTAGCGTCTGTTTTTGTTCTACTTTTTTCTTCGATTTTGATGTAGAGACTAAAATGTGAATTTTTGTTGTTGTTGTTGTTGAAGTTTGTATTTCCGCAGCTTGTTGTAATATTGTATAAGTTCCAACTATTAATTTTTATATTAGCCTGCAGGCTTACAAGATTCTAGGTCGGAGATGAAGGCCCTTTTGTTTTAAGTAATATTATGTGTAATTGTTAGAACTGAGTTCTTCCGTTTGAACAACTCTGTTTGAACAACTAGAGGCTCCTAATAAAAGAGCTAGGTTATTTCTTATTTTTTATGAACCTTAATAAAAGAGATAGGTTATTTCTTGTTATTTTTAGGAACCCTAATAAAAGAGCTAGGTTATTTCTTGTTATTTTTTATGAACCCTAATAAAAGAGCTACGTTATTTCTTGTTATTTTTAGGAACCCTAATAAAAGAGCTAGGTTATTTCTTGTTATTTTTAGGAACCCTAATAAAAGAGCTAGGTTATTTCTTGTTATTTTTAGGAACCCTAATAAAAGACCTAGGGTGTTTCTTGTTATTTTTTATGAACCCTAATAAAAGACCTAGGGTATTTCTTGTTATTTTTTATGAACCCTAATAAAAGAGATAGGGGTATTTCTTGTTATTTTTTATGAACCCTAATAAAACAGCTAGGATATTTCTTGTTATTTTTTATGAACCCTAATAAAATAGATAGGGGTATTTCTTGTTATTTTTTATGAACTTACGTAAGCTAGCTTACATTGGTTTTTAATATACAACGCACTGTCGGAAAAGTATTAAAGATTAAGTCTTACAGTAAAGCCGTACGGTGCAATAAAGTAATTACACACACACACACGATCACCTTGTTAATCCAAAGTTTATTACATTTTCAGAGCAAACTGTTTCTGCTTTCTGATCTTATCACACATAACTAATTAACCTTTGAATAATTTTAGGTTTCTAATGGCTAACCTGCTGGACGAAATGCTTCTTAGAAGCTTTAGTTCTGGATACATACAATATGTAATAAGAGTTATAAATCTTACAAGCATTAATGGTATGTTATTACACGTAATTAAATACCAGTGTCTAAAAGAACGCTTGGCATCTTTCAAACAGTTACATTGCCGGAAGCATGTACATGCTATTATACCGGTAGTCTTTAACGTCTGGACACATGGTTCCCTTTTTATAATATATTTATATTAAAAAACGTTTTGAACTGAAAACGTAATCGAATTTCAACCCCTAGAAATAATGAACTAAATCCCGCATAAGTTTAAATCGGTAGTTTGAATGTAGATACCAACTAAATTGGGCTTAGAAAATTAACGTTTTTATTCTATCTTCAAAATTTTATTTAAAAGCGTCAGTAAATTAATCTGTAATACAATGATTAAGTCCTTTGTTCTGACCGGCATGGCCAGGTGTTTAGGGCGCCTGCCTCCCAATCTGAGGGTCGTGGGTTCAAATCCCCGTGATACCAAATTTGCTAACCCTTTCAGCCGTGATGACTAGCTGCCTTCCCTCTAGTCTTTCACTGCTAAATTAAGGAAGACTAGTGCGCGAAATTCCAAACAAACCAAATTCGTTTGTTACGAGGCATCCTGTAACCAACAAAGTTATGAATCCAGGAGCAATTTGATGCATAAAATATTTGAGGAAAAGGCGATGAAGTCTGTGTGGACCCCATTAGTAACTGCATGGTTAATAAGTTTGCTGGCTTTAAGTCATATTTAGTTAAGGCAGCAAATTAATGACAGAATATTACGGTTTTACCCCCAATGATTAAAACTGCTATCCGAATAGTAGATTTCCCTGTTGACAGCTTTTGCGTACTATCATGTCGCAATGCCTAGTAAATTGCTTGAACTGATGACATTATATATATTATGTATTCATCGTCACGTTAAGGAAAACCTTTAAAGTGGCAATATCTCCTGACGTCTCAGCTTTTTATATTACATGCTGATTAACTTGTAGCATGTTATAATGACCAATGGACAGTTTTGAAAATGAATTTTATAAAATAAAATAAAAAAAAGATAGTAGCTACGAGGAAATCACACACAAACGTGTTATAATATTTGCAAAAATGTGATTTCCAAACATTTCTAAACGAATATTAATTCAGCTCCTAACAGATGGCGCACACATATATATAAGTACAGACGTTTCTAATGGCTAGTGGTTCGAATCCC